CGTTGCTGATGTGTTAGCGATATCTGTTGTTGACCCTGAAGCACGGACGCATGTGGAAACGCAGTATGTTGGGCGAAACTGCTGAATTCCTGCTTGATACTGATACGTTCCATGTTTGCCGAACTTAAAACACTCTTACTTTTGTTTTTGCGGGGACTTGTGCTGGAGTTCGTTTGTGGCACTGCACTCGAATTGTACTTCGTCATTACAGTAAAAATAAAACTCGCAAAATTTATCGTAATTCAAATAAATAAAACTGTAAATTCTTTTGTTTAATACTTTTTGGCACTTTTAAATCAATTTATCATGGAGCACGAGTTAACATTTTCACAAATTCTATACACATTAGTACTTGATAATGTTGATGGCAAAGCGTAGGAGCCCTTTCGGCGGCCCAGTGTCACCTTGTGCCCGCACGTTTTTCTTATTCATACGCGTCGATCTACAAATTCGTTCTTCCGAAACGTAAATTCGCTCCGACAACGACGGCATCCACGACACTTTTAGTTGACAAAATTTCAAAATTATCATTTCTCATTCGTTTGGCGTTGAGTTGTTGTGTCTCGAGATCGACCGGCGTTGTGTCTTTTCATGTAGTCAAACACATTTGTGCCATGTGTCCCTGTGTTGATGTCTTTTTTGTTTCTTTTTGAGTACTACACTCAAGATGCTGAGGAGCTATAGTGTGTTCGAGTGGTATCTATTTATAAATCGTCTCGTTATTAGACGTTCTCTAATATGACAAAGTGCAGGACTCGAGCCAATGCAGTTAGACCACGCCCATTCTTTCAAAATGCTGTACACTTATATTTAAGTTCATATGTATGTAATTAGAGTGTAAGTATTTAGAAGCATATCTTTTCTCGTATGTAGATGATCGTTTACTAAATATCTGCATACATTTTGAGTGGAAATTCGGTAGTCTTCCATGAGATTTTAATGAATGAAAATTTTTGTAAAATGGTGGAAAATTTTGATGAAGGTCGAAGAGTTCAATAGTTAAATCAGAATATCGATATATAAGCGGAACACCATGGCATTAGCTTCGCAGTGATAACCTCTTGTACTGGCCAAAATCTTTTATTGACGAAGACGAAGAGGCCTTTATGGTCAAAAAAAAGCTCAAAAAGAACTTCCTAAGGGTTAGCAATTAGTTGACTAGAATAGCATGTTGAAAATCTCAAATCTCAATCAAAATGTAGATTATAATGCAAAAGATCAAGTTCGAAATTAATCCAAATAAATTTACAATTATGATTATGAATATTCATATTAAATTTTACTATTCCGTTAGCTTGTTTCCTGGAAGTTATTTATAGCAAAAATTAATTCGAAAACCTTTACGGCATCGCATTGAGCAACATCGGAAAATCGAATATGGCATTTTATTATTTTCAATTTGAACTAAACATAATTTTTCAATCGTTTAAATCACGATATTTTAATTTTTTGTTTAAGATCACGCAGCCACCCATTTTTAAGTTTGATTATGCTATTTCTTTGCACTCCGGGTGTTGTTTTCAACGGAGCAAGCTGATCATCATCAATAAAGATAGGTGTACTAAAAAACCAGAATAGTCAAAAGCCACTCTATATTAAGCCACACAGGCATTTAGGCAACTAAAAAGCGATACAATAAATCGTTCAGTGCTGATCAATATGCCGCCAAAATTTGTTTAGACAAAAACCCATCCGACGCCATTTATTCAAGCATCACAACAATTTTCTTTCCAATAACTCACGGCTGAGCAGAAGGCGCACAGGCAAGCAGGCACTCCTAAGTTGATATATTTGTACATGTTGCGGCTTTTTCGAGCTTCGCCTGTTGTAAAAACACCTGTAGAATCGCTGACGCATTACGCCTTCTCATACCTGAGCCCCACCCAGTCCCTGCCACTGTGTCGATTTTTTCCCATTGTTTGTGTAATAATTTTTACTTCGAATAAATTAAGAAAGCATAAAAACGGTAATGTGACATTTTTAATGGAGCCAGCGACGGCAACTGAATGCCAGCGTTTCCGTTCCTTCAACATCCGTCAACATGATGCATAGCGGCTCTGCGCTGCCCCCTCACAACAGCACCCACCACCACCCGCACAAAGCAATCAGTTATGGCAGTGTTGCCCACACGCACATATACACAGCGACATGCATACATACGTACATAAGCGCATGCCTACCTAAAAGAATAGACATATCTTCCTAATAATAAGTTGGTGGATATTTATGAGCGAATGGATGTATCTGACGCACACTTACCGGTACACGCTCGCTCATTCAAGTTGAGACACTCAACCGCAACGAAAATCTCCGTGTCTGAAAATAATTTGTTTATTTATCGTTGCCCAAACAAAAAATGTATCTTTGGAAATCATCTAAATCTATTCGAATCGAATTGTAAATCTTTTCAACTTTGCGACAATTTTCGGTGCATCATAGCTTTCGTTTAGTAGACGTTGTTGCTGTTTTTGCATTTCTATATCTCTGTCACATAAATTCAATATGGTCGTGATAAATGTTTTGTTTTGATTGTGACAAAGTTTTCGAAAATTTCGCCCGCTGAGGAACTGGAAGAAAGTACTGAATATTTTTTACAAAAGTTAAAGGACCATAGAAGTATGTGTAGCGAACTGAATGAAAAATTTGTAAAAAAATTATTCTTTTAGTTGGCAATTAAGCTTTAATTATCTATAAGAAAAAAGATAAAAAAAAGGAAAAAAACAGAGGTAAGATTTTTGGAAAACGTTATTTACTGGTTTTAAGTAGTAGAGCGTAGCGCTGGGTCTCAACTGGCCAGCTTTACGCCCTAAGACAGTCTCGATCAAAAATTATGTAATTATGTGTAAACATAACAAGTAACGAAGGACTAAGTTCGGGTGTAGTTGCCACTGGAAAAAATCAAAGCCGGCGAAATAACGAAAATCGTTTATGTAATATATGGGAGTTTGGGTAATTTGTGGACCAATTTCACATATTTTCGGCATCAAACTGTAGTATATCCAATAACTAAGTTAATTTTGCTAAGGTATCTAACTTATGGACAAATATATACGGTATAAATCCATGGAAGATAGGGGTAGTACTGACCCGATTTCATCTATTTTTCGCATTACTACATATTATTTACAGAAAAAGACGTTCTCTGTGTTTCATTAAAGTGCCTTACATGCCATTACCAATATATTATATGTAGAAGTAGTAATTGCAACCGGATGTTTGAAAATCTTGATATTAGCTATTGGGGGTAGGGCCAAGTTTTCACCCGATTGAATTTTAAGCTCACAGATGCACAGTTATTATAAAAATAGGCCCGCTCAATTTTATTAATATAACTCACATATATTCGGTGTGAAGTAAGCGGAAGTATTGCACTGATTTAATAAATTTTTGACATATAGATATAATATTATCAGGAAAGGGCTCTGTCCAATTGCTGATTATATATCTCGGACATTAAACGATAATTTCGGTAAAAAGTCAACCATGAACATTTGGGTATATGAGGGCTTGAACAGTTATTGTCCGATTTTGAAAATTTTTAGACTTAAAATGGCATATCTTGCAGAGTGCCTTTCTTTGCACAGCTTTATTTTAATATATTCATTAGTGCTTGATATATATACAGGAAAGTCAAAAAATCAAATAGAACTTAAATTCGTGTTATATGTGAAGTAGGCGCACTGAAAAATGTAGATATTAGAGGAATGTTATGTAGCAAATTTTGTTGAAATCGGTCGAGCAGGTCCCCAAATATGTGATTTCACTTAAAAGTGGGCATAGCCACGTCCATCGTCCAATGTCTCTGGCGCATTTAGTTCTTGAGTTATCACACTTTTAGTAGTTTTTAAGAAAACCGTTATATGGGAAGAGGGCTGGGTATCATCACTATCGTAAGAAAGCTTGAAAATTTTGTCCTGTACAAATTTGGGTGATATAACTTTATTAGTTTGAAAGATATATACAATAAACTTATTAAGGGGCGGGACCACGAACACTTTTTAAAGATTTTCAAACCACAGGTGCCCTTCCATAGTGTGATTCGTTGTGCCAATTTTAGCTTAATTATTGCACTTTATACGTTTTTGATTAATAGCGTTTTGTGGGCGAACTCATCCTTACTTTTTTGCCAAGGAACATGCGTACCAAGTTTCATAAAGATATCTGAATTTTTACTCAAATTTCAGACGGACAGACAGTCCCCCGGATTTTAACTCGTCACTTCATCCTGATCATTTATATATACATAGCCCTATATCTAACTCGATTAGTTTTGAGTAATACAAACAACCGTTAGGTGAACAAAATTGTTATACTCTGTAGCAACATTTATTTAGTTTTCTTGGTTTGTTCGTTGTAATAATCAGGTAGTTTGAAACAGATCTGCTTGAAAACTGTGAGTTTTTATCTCATAATATAATAGCAAGGATTCTCAACCTCAAGAGTTTTAAGAAAACTCATAGTTAAAAATATTTATTTAATATAATATTTGGATTAAATTCTTTAACTCAATAATTAAATTCGATGTAAAATTATTAGGCATATAAAAGAAGGCTTATCAATTTATTTGAGAAAAGTTGTTATTTGTTTAATTTAATAGAGAAATATTCCTCAATCCTCAGATTAAGGTAATACAGTTGTAGAACATCCCCAAGGAAATATATCATCATCCTAACCAATTTTATTGCTAACACATTCATAGAACATTGAAAAAGTGTGATAACGTTATATACAAGGTGTAGAACTCTATTAATATGAAATAATACTTTTCGTTGACCCTCTGAGTGACTAATATTTTATGATAACGTAATTTGCTACAGAGAGTTAGAAAAAATCCAGCAATTTAGACTCAGAATGACAAGGACAACTTATTTGTTGCATGAATGTTCGGTATTCCTATATATATTGATTATTTGCATTGCAAGCAATTTTTATTTGAACATATTGCGAGCGAAAATACGAAGTTTAGAGAGTATCTGTGTATGTCGATACATTGAAGAATAGTTCCTCAGAAAAAATAAACTTTTAAAAATCAAACCATACCATGCGTCAGCGTGCTCACTACCAGACTTGAAAAACAATTTCCCTTTTCTTAAAATGTCAATGTTAAAAATACAATTTCATTCTAATTTTCGGGCTGCTCACAGCTTATCAAACTTCTTCCAAATTAATTCTTTTTTTTCTACACGTACATATAGTTCCTATAAACAATTGGAACAACATGAGTAGGAGACCGTTGGGTAGGTTGCAATGTATAAAAAATTCACAAACCTTTTTGAATTAATGCAAATTTCTCCTCTACTGATTTGTCGATTTTCTCGCTGTCTCACAGGCCCCGGTCCAGGTGCTTATATGCTGCCCTCAAGTTTTGGTTACAATAACAACGAACCAACTGGTCGACGTTCGCCCGGCTACAGTTTTGGCTTACGTGGTCCCGATGACATCAAGAAAGCTGGACCAGGACCAGGCGCTTACAAAACGGATGCATTGACACGCTATGGAAAAAGTCGATATTTCAATTATTCATAGATGAATTAAATGGTATGTATGCATGAATATTCGAAGGTATTGTATATATGTACATATGTATGTATGTATATGCATATTATGTATTTTTTGTATTTCGACGCTTTTAATTAAATTCTATCTTTGGATTAACAGTTGATATTGCCGTAAACGTTGGAATGACTAGCCTGATGTTCTAAGCACGGATTTCTACTACAGAAGAAAAAACAAAAAAATTTTAATATTGTAACATCTTTTTTAATAAATACTACCGTAACTTTCTTAAAATCGTATCAAATTTTAATTTCGGAATTTGTAGCGGATTATTTGGAGTCCCGTTATACAGTGCTTGAACAGTTTCGCATACTAACATAGATTATTTACATGCACATACATAGTATGGGTGTGAATATTGGAAATTACATACGGCCTAAAAGTATGCTCTAATATAGCAACCTTTCTTCGTCTTTGTTCGGTATTTAAAGTTCGTTGCCTCTGAAGTATTTTGAAATATTGCAAAAATATTATGCAACTTAAAGATAAATAACAAAACACATAAATAACAAAAAGAAAAACAAATACAGTAGAGTTTTTTAAGAAACTGTTGACACATTTAGTATTTGCAATCGGCCAGCAACACTGATCTCTTTAGTTTTTTCTCTTAAATTTGAGTAAAAGCAAGAGAAAGTGGCAAAAAAGGAGTATCTGCAAATTATATTCCCCACAAACTTCGTGTTTATGTTGAAAGCTAAGACAAGCATTGCGTCAGATTTTAGTAACTAACTTACTTAATGTTGTTGTGTGACCTCTCGGTGAGTTGTAAGAAAAGCATAAAAGAGAAGATTTTATGTTGCACGTGCTGATAAATGTTTGAGCATGAGCATTACATATTGCTCATCTAGAAAATATGGCAGCGAAAATATGAATTTCTATAGAATTGCTTACACTCTACGAACTCAACTCCTAAAATACAATATTCATAATGTAAAAAATCAATTAAAGCATTTTAATTCAAACATATATTATTTTCCTGCCCATTTACCATATTACACATTTAATCTTATTTAAAAGGGGCAGAGACGTATGCAGCTTTCTTATCTAAAGCTCATATCTTAGCTCCGAAAAGGTCAGTTTCAATAATGGTAAAGAAATTTTATTACATATACAAATTTTCTACATTGTTTTGAATCCATTTTTTCTTTTTGGAAAAGGGCTAAACTTTTCCAAATCAGATTTCCAAATATTGTAATAAAAAATAATTGAATAAGCATTTAAATTAGTTTTTTTAATTTAGTATTCCCGAAAACCTTTATTAAAAATAATTTTTAAATTTCCAATCAAAAATAACAGATTAGAAAATGAAAAATAAAATTTTGATCCCAAATACCGGATTAAAAAAAATTGTTTAAATTTTTAATTTTAAACTCCGATTTTGAGAATAAAAATTGAAAATATTATTTTTAATCCAAAATTTTGTTATTAAAAAATTCGCAGGCTTGCTTTACAATAAACTACATAGCATTTATATTAAATTTTAATTTTAAAGTTGGTGGAAAAATCTGAATTTTAAAGAATAAATGAAATTATTAGTATTTACTACTATTGTAACACAGAGGCAAGCCGCTTTGTAGTCGCTCTTATATTTAAATACGCTCTCTTTCACCGGATACAACGCTCTCGATAACGCTGATAGTAAAAAATACAAAAACAACCACAAGAATACGCAAAGAAGAAATTATAAAGTGTTATGAGTGTAGAGAAGGTTTGGCGGAAGGAAATCACAGATTTTATGTTATATCGAAATAAAATTAACTAAAAAGGTACTAAGTAAACTAGAGATGGGGCAAAATATAGTACATAATAACGCATTAAACTATAGTTTGTGTTCGCATGGGCATGAATGTAGTCGTGTCGACTCTTGATATAATGTGAAAAGCGACAACGCCAAGTTTCAGTCACTGCTTGGCCATCAGAGTGAACATACAAACGAGGCCGAGAGGCGTCTAAAATTGAAAGCTCTAAAACGAAAATTGTGCGCGCAAATATTTATAAAAAATTTTACTAATGCACGCATAAATACATACAAATATATAATAGCTTTGGTATTAAGAACATCAGGTAAAAGGCAAAAGACACACAAAGTATTATCTGACAAATTTAGCGTCTGTCGGTGAAAATTAAGAAATCCATGGCGGTTATATTATGAATAATATTTAAAGCAAAACTAAAAAAGACACGTGTAACAAAGACCATCCACATTAAGAAACTATGCACAAGTGAAAGAATGAACACAGCAGCAAAACACAACCTACCATGTGCGAAAAGTAACAAATAGTGAAAGATTGCTTGATTAAATCTGCTTCATCATTTCGCCGCATCAAAATTAACATGTACCAGTTGAAATAAAAGTTTTTCCTATGGAAGGCTCTCTGGGTAAGTGAAAAGTCTCCACGAAAAAATAAAAGAATATTGCATTTTTATTAAAAATATACTTGTTTCTACGTAATTATGAATAAAATATCTTAGCTCCGAAAGTTGTAATGAGTCTTTGCTACTGAAGAAACGTGTGTCATCAGAAAATTTCGCTTTTCGGCCACTTCTTGTTTCCAATGTCGTAAGCACATCTCTACATGCTATAGTATAAATACAACGCATTGTTGTTTATTTTTGCACATGCTCACAACATGCTCATATATACACACGAGCGCTGTTTAGTTGTCAGTTTTGACATTAGCTCACTGCCACTGTCATCAATGACAGTACGTGTAAAAGACGTGTGTATAAGTCATCAACAAGTGCAATGGTAAAAAGAAATGCTTGCTCTCTTCATAATAAACGCTTATAGTATTTATAATTACCCACACGTGTCTAGTTGCAATTTAAGTACGTACTGTTTTGCATACCGAGCCACACATATGCACATACATAAGTATGTATGCACCATAAGTACCGCATGCTGACAAGTAAAGAAGTCTACGTGAAATAAATCATTACAACACACGTGAACGTCATATTAACCTACATAATCTCAAGTAATCCACTTATTTAAGTCAGTAGGCGATAGCACAATTAGCATTATTTTTAATGATCGTTTTTAAATACGTTATAGTTGCAAGTGTGGTGGATTTGTGTTGCCCTTGAAAAATTGTTATACCCTAAATTGAAAATTGTGACTACCAGAAGAAAACGTATAAAGTACCTATATGTATGTATGTACAAGTATATACAATAAATGATCAATGCAACGAGCTGGGCCATCTCTAGGATATTATAGTTTCGGTGCAAACGAAGTTAACGTTTTATCTTGTTTTTCTTTACTTTTGAATTAATTTTCTCACTTTAAGCAATTAGCTTATTCTTGAAGTATAAAATACTTGCTTTTATACATTTATACATTTTTGCCTCTATTACTCAATTAACTTCCTGTAATATGACTTCCTTTGTCTTTCCTCTAATTTATCAAAATATAATGCCATGTAAATAATTTGCGCTTCGCTCATCATATTTAGGTCACAATTTGTTTATGCTTACATACTTACGTATATGTACATATAGGTATATATGTATATACGAGTATTAAATTAAAACAGCAATTCCCTGTAGAGAGGCAGCAGCACTGTTGATGAAAACTGCAGGCTCTCAGATTGTGTTTTGTAAAATTTTCGAGGTTGCATTATTTTTAAATTTGGTAAATTGATGATGACGTTTTTATTGGCAGGTAAGCTGTGCAAACCAGTTACTTCACATGCATTGCCAAGCGTGACGACACATTTATTTCATGTAAACAAAAATATATACTTACTTACACCTGTTAATGGACTTGGTTTGTTGAACTTGAAAATCTTTTGAGCCCATAACTGGTTCCGAATTTTTATATGCTACGTACGCCAAAGTAAAGATATTTGATAGAATGAAATGCTGAAATCTAGTTATTATTTGGTGAAAGCCTAAAATATACCGAAGTATGTTTCTGTTTTTTTGCTGCTGAACTGAAAAACATCATTTAAGATGTCATATAATATACCGGTATGTATTTAATGTGAAATACCCTCCAAACATTTAATACTTCAATACCACCGAAGCTTAATGCATGCTTTGCTTAAAGTTTTTGTTTTTTTGTTTAACAAGCTTGCTATATCCCCCATTTATTTGAACAGAATGAACCTGAAGACTATTTTGATGTTCTCAAATATTCTTTAGTCTTGCAACGATAAGCGGCATATCTTTAGACTGATATCGCCCCACCTACTCTTTATATTGTAGTCCAAAACATACATCTAAATAAGCATTATAAACAGACTTTAACAATGAAAGCATACTGCTAAAAGCACTTGTTCTAACATAGACCTGAAATTTTTATCATTGTATTGATATATTTTTCTGAATATTTCACAATACTGCTAGCCTTTACATTTGTTTAATGTAAAATAAACACATACGAGTACTTCCATACAACACATGGAATTGTTTATTCAAGCCAAGCTTATTTATTAGCTAGAGAAATAATAATTTCATCAGACTTGCTTGCAGAGCTATAATGCTTTATAGGTTGAAAGAGGCTTGGCAGAATCTATTTTGAATATTAACGAGTTTGTTTCATCTTTCCATTCGTTCGTGTACAATATTCATTTGGAAACATGAAATAGCACTTACTTGCTGAATTTTGTTTGATTGAATAACTTTGTATTTATATATGGACGTATATTAAGGTGGAGCGAAAAATAAAAAATGTCCCAGAAAATGGGCGATTAATTGTATTCTTTGTAAAAGAAATGTGTTTAATAAAAATAAGTCTACACAAACATATTTTGAATTAATACTGTCAATAGCCAATTTCCTTAATGATTATAATTTTATTTCGCACAACACTAAACCAATATTTGTCAAAAACTTTGAATCCTGCTTGGCATTCAGAGTGTGAGGAAATGATAGTATTTACGAACGCATTATCTAATGAAAGTTTTCTCTTGCCGTTGCGCTCTTTAAGTTTTTTGCACGTGTGCTCACAAAAGCGGAGTTAAATGTTTGAAAAAGTAATAATAAATAGATGTATTGATATAAGTATGTAAACCATCGACGACATGCAACAACTTCAGCTGACATTATGAAAATTACTATGAAAGTTTGACGGTTCGTTTTGTTTATGACATTACAATCTTCTCTCATTCACAAAAGTCCATCACACCCACTTTTTAATAACACAATTAAGAGATTCCCAACTTTGAAGTGCTTCAAGCAAGTTAAGTGATAGTATAGTGAAGTGAAGTGAAGTAGACTCTGTTATCGCATATATATAGATATATATGTTTGTATGTACATATGTACCATAAGCACATTTGAATTCTTGTTCTGGCCGATCTCGAAGCCTGTTTGCTTGGCAGTAGTATAGCATTTTAAGTTGAGTTGCACCATTAAAAATAATATAAATGTATATAACAAGTGCATAAATTTTAATTTTGATTATATGATTCTGAGATTGACGCCTTGTTCACATTTTATTAGACAATAAAAATTGATTTGAATGTTAAAAACAGAAAGTAAACAAAATATTCTAACGGCGTCGGGCTCCCTATTTCTTATCGCGAATTTCACGCTTAACCTCTCTACATATGTACATTCATGTATACATATGTATAACCTGCCTACACATATCAAAGTATTTACATACGTACATCTGTATAGGTATACATATGCACGATTGTAGACTTGTGCATTTCTGTTTACTATTCGCCTTGCTGGCGAGCTTCCGACCACATTCAATTCGAACCGAAACTGATGCGACTAAATGAAAACAAAATTGTTTGTGCGAATAATTGGCGGCATACTTTGCACCTTGTGTGTAAATGTGTTATATGTCTAGTATATTTTTATCTATTTGTCTGTATTCCCATAATAAAACTTTAATTTTAATTTCATTGCATTATTTCTAACTAGTTGATACTCATTTTGCTTGCTCATTGTACATACATTCATATATATGTACATATTTACACACAAACCACAAAAAACGCCTACTTCTGTTAAGCTGATAATTTTTAGCCGGCCTTCATACATTTGCTGCAAAATATACATACGATATACGTTGATATATATTGTGTGTGCGTGAAAAGTTAGTGCCTGAGGTTAAATTAAACACATGTTTGAAAGAAATTTCATATGTAAGTATCTGCTACTAACGTACTTATCTAAAGTCCAATATTATTTATTTGTTATTCGACTGTTTTAAGTACGCGCATAAGCAAAATTAAAGCGCGAAATCGTGATATCTACTTTGATTTGCTCATTTATGGGTATACATCTTATGTTTCAGCGATTAGTGTTACACATTTCCTATTCACGCGCATAACACCCACATTTTTCGTCTACTCTCCCAAACGCACACATTAGGGTTGTTATTAACTACTTTTTATGTTATTGAAATTTCTTCCTTGCAAATTTTTTTCTAATAGAATTAGTATATTTCTAAATTTAATAGAGTTTTATGAACTTTGAACAGAATAACAAATTTAGAAAAGTATTTAAGAATGATGTCATTAAAAACCAGAAGACCCGGCGAACTGTGCACTGCCTAACAGTTAATGGATTTGATTTGTTAAAGATTTTACTTTCGTAATATATTTGTATATTTGGATTCGAGTATCTTTTATGTATCTAAATGTCGTCTCAGATTAACATTTCCAATATTTTAACAATTATTCTGCTATTCGAAGACGAAAGCAACAAATCAGAGATCTTCAATTCGGTGGAGTCGTTCTTGAGTTATGAATTGTATAAACAATCTGACTCTGTTTATTTTACTGAGACAAATCGAGTTTCTTTGAGAATTTTAGAATATTTGCAACGTGTTCAATTTCAAACAGCTGATTAACTACTGTTTTCGAATAAAGATTATTTATTTAAAACTTCTTAAAAACTAGCGATATAATTTAGGAAAAGGCGGCACAATTCTTTACTGAAGTTTTCGGAATAAGTTCTGTCAAATTTGGTGAGACCCCAAACAGCGGCATTTGGAAAACAAACCACCCTTTCTCAGAGCTTAAGAATATGTCACATACATATATGTGTTTTCTTTATACATATGTACATTATTGCGATCGGTCACATGTGGCTAGAGCGTGATGATGATGCAAATACATACACACACATTCTATATAAAAACATACACCAAAATAGGTGTGTGTGTGTGTGCGTGTGTGAATAATAATATTATTAGCAAATAAGAATTAAACATTGTTTAACTTTATGGCTGCTGGCTGCTGAAGTGCACAAATAAACATCTCTGTATGTATGTACATATGTATGTATATACCTCAACCACATCACGTAATGTGATAATCAAGAAAGTACAAAAACAGAGAAAAGCGACATAAATTTGAAAGCTAAGTCAAATGTATAGGTGGTGCTTACCATATAGTGAGCCCATAGTGAAATGCATTTATGAGTATATTTGAAATTCACCGTTAAACTGATATCAGCAGATACATATATACATACAAATGTGTGTGTGAGGCAGTCAGGGTAATTGACTGATAGGATAATTTGAAGATAGCAGATGTGTGAAAAATGAAGCAAGCGATTATGTTCGTTTGCGTGTCAACTAAAACGAAAACGCTTAACGAATTAAGCTAATTTGAGGCAGGAAAGTGGTGAATTGCTCGCTGCTCTGCTCAACTGCTCCGCTAGCTGGAGAATTTTTCAATTTGCGTAGCGCTAACGGCTGACGCTTGCCGAAGCGAGGCGTTTGTACAAAAGCGTTGAGAATGCGCTATTAGCTAATAAATTATATTATGCAAATATTTAATGTGCGCAAAAACGATTTAACTCACTTAAATTTTGCTAATATAGCAAAAGCAATTGCACAAGTTCATCCAAACTTACATTTTCGCATATATTAATATATTATTAACTATATTTATAGTAACAGGTTTTCATTAGGTTATACCTATACAATAATAATTGAGCGTTTTTTACATTTGGCGGCATGTGACATTCATAATATCGGTAATGTGTCTACATTTCTATATTTTTATTAACACAATTATTTGAACATTAGCGAATATTTTTTTACTGTGCTTACAAAAAAGTTCAGTATGAAGGCGAAGAGACGTCGTTGTCGCTTTCGTAACGTTAGCGAAATTAAAAACAATATAGAGATTCTCTACTAGAGAAGTACATAAAATGTATGTATAATAAGTACTTATAAATATATATACACGGATATACCGTGATGGAACAATTTTTTTTTTTTTCCGATTTCCATCTCAATTATTTTATTGTATTTTTTTTAAATCCAAAAATATTTTAAGTGCAATTTTCACACACTTTAAGGCGTGACAATATAATAAATTGTTAATCGTAATAAACCTCACAATGTAAATAAAGTTTACATTGTGAGGTGTTTAAAAATTTACTTATAATATATGTATGTATATGATAAAGAAATATTACAAATTAAAGAAGCTAAGAAGTCTTATATTCAAAAATATTTTTCAATGGCCTACAACTGGTGTAAGAATTTATAAAATAAATGGCATATAATATTATTGACAACTAAACGTGTTTAATGACATTTTTTAAAATGCAGATTTTTTTGTCAAAAAAGTTAAACAAATTAATCAAACATATTCAAAATTACAGTATTGGTATCATATGAAAGGTATTAGATTTTTTATTGCACAAATCAATCATATCATCACTAGAATATGATGAAATAATGTATAAATATAAGTTTTTTTATCGCTAAGGAAATTAATTATACAATTTATTTAATACATAATTTTATTTTTTTATAATAAATATTTATTATAGTATACTTCTCTCCTTATTAAATACACATGTTTTTAACGCATCTAGAGAACTTTCACCTCTGTCGTCCTTGGTTCTATATCCTCCATTCCTTCTCTTAACAATTTGCAATATCCAATAGTAAATTCAATTTACAATACCTGTAATCAAATAAGTAAATTATTGAGAATAAACACAAAATTAAATCAAAAAAATTAACTCGCAGCTAATAGCCCCTTTTTTAGCTAGAAAATAGCTGCTTCACCCAATTTTAAATACTAAAATTCGTTTGCAGTACGAGCACTGATACCGCCCCTTCAAGAAACTGCTGATGGGTTCACCAATACACTCACATTTGATATGTCAGTACTGACGAACAGTTTACTTGTCAGCTGACCGTCACTGTTATTTTGTAAACAGAGACATTTTCGAATTATATTGCTTACATGTGTAAGAATGAAAAACCATATCAAAAAGGGACGCATAAAATTCCATATAAGTTTCTCCACAACTGCACAAAACAATTTTACTGTTCTTCTTGTTACAAACGAAAAGTGTTGCGCGCTTCTTTTGGGTTTTTTGTTTAAAATATACAATTTTATGAAAGAGAGGTGTTTTCAAATATAATATACATATGTATGTAAGTTAAATAAGTTTCAAATAAAAGTATATATTTAAATTCAGAACTATCCACTGAGTGGAGAAAGACGTACGCAGAGCTGTTGAGAGGAGGAGATGGCATCAAGTGAAAATTTATTTTTATATTTTCATATTTTATTATTTAATTATATTTTTTGTTGCATTCATTTTTATATTAAGGTATATTATTATAACTAATTTTGATTAAAAGTTTGAAATTTATTAAAGAAATAAAAATTATATTATCTACTGCGCAAAAGAATTTTTCACTTCTGATAGCGTTTCAGTCATAACTGACAATTTTCAGCTATGGCGGATTTATTGTCAGCAATGACTCAGAAAAAGACATGAGAGTGAGCAGTATAGATATAAAGTGAATCAATTCCGAATACCCATGTGTTAAAGAGAGATGCAAGCTCACACACATACGTTTGTTAACATCAGTTTTTGCACAAGGCTCTTAAGAAAATGATAGAAACTTTGTTCTGCCCGCTGACAAAATTTTTTCAGCTATGACTGTCATATTACCCATCAGATGACCGTCACTGTTCTTGTAGGGTTCCTTTCTTTCCGAACTCGTAATTCGCATTTGTGCGTGATAAAATTTCCACAGCTTTTGCGCATATAAATCGTATTTCAATATCATACATACATACACATACACAAGTATTTTTATCTATCTTTATGGGATTTACTTGTTTATTTTATTAAATTAGGCCAAACGTTTTCTTTGTTTTAGCAAACGTCCTCAAACAATCATTTTCACTGTTTCTGCTCATGCGTACAGTTGTGTTTGAAGAAAGAGCAGACCTTGTATAGAGTATAAAAACACGAAGCACATTAAATGATCAACAATTTTAGTAACTGGCTATTAGTGAATCTGTTTAATGTCCCAAAAGAACAGAAAATATATAAAATATAAGAATTTTTTTGCATAACATTCTTTTTCAACCTTTTTTTTAACGGTATTTACACTATGTTGTTTGGTTTATCTCTGAAAGTAATTTGTTTATTAATAAAAAAACCTTTATCTAATTTTTTATTATTAAAAGTGTGCCAGTTCTTCGCACATTTATGTACTTATGTGAATTTCTAGTTGCAAATAATAAATACATACATATGTACATATGTATGTATGTAGATATGAGGCTTTTACGATTTTGCGCAAGCAAAAACAAGCCGAAAAGCGAAAATATAAAATAAAAATAAACTTTCGTTTATTTTCAAATTCAACTGTCGCGCACGAGTTCATGTGTACAAATGCTAAATATGCATACACAAATGTATATACATATATTATAAATATGTATATTTATAAAAAAATATAAAAGCAGCCAGATCTATAAAATGGTAAATATTTAGAGTGACTTTTAGCTAATTTGCATATATGCTTTGCTATCTTTGAACAGCTTTTTGGGAATAATAACATTTGCATTGTTCACAAACTTGGAAACTTTTTAGATTTCCAGTTTGCGCCTACTCCTCCTAATCGTTAAAAACATCTAAATTTTTTTCTAAAAATATCAAATTAACAAGCGGTCTTTTTGTTGTTTATTTTTGTTTTATAGCTTAAAAATAACAAACACAAATGAAAGTGTCAATTCTAATTGTTGGGTTTTTTTGAAAACCGTACTGCCAATGTTTATTAGGTATTGAAATCAATAAATAACCACGATTTGAAGAATGATGCCCCGGATATTTTAACTTTATTTAGACATTTCCCGAAGGAAGTAAAAAGTCGAAACTGTCTTTTCTATTATTCTTGAGAAAATAAAAATTTATTAATTACTATTTAACAAAATACACTCTCCAACACATTTACATATATTTTCAATAAAGTCAATAATTGTCAAAACGAGCAATTAGAAACAAAATTCAAATATTCTTTAACTGTTTTAAAATTTCCTTTTATTTTCTTTAAATTACAGCAAAACTCATAAAGTCGCTAAATTCATAGAGGATGTAAACGGCCGCAACACACTTACACATTTCGGATAAGCTAAATTAAAACAAACAAAAAAAAATTACATATAAAAACTGAAAAAGTGAGAATCGTCCCAAAACCAAAAAATGTTAAATATTTAAAAAATCTCACCTGTAACTCCAAGCCAATGACGAGCTAAAAACTAACTGCATTCTCGCACAGCTCATCATAGAAAGCCGCAAGAAAGCACGCACTTACAAATCTATACAATCCAGCCAAAAACATCGATGTGTTGCCAGCAATCGCCACAGCAACAACAGAGATTACTACAACAACAAAATCAAAGCGTACGCGGCTTAAACGCAGCTTGGAGTGAAAACATCAAAGATCATACATATTATCACCAAAATCTCTCACAAACACGTGCATTATTCATAAGCCGCAATATAGATCTATTCAGCTAGTATTAGCTTAAAAAATAGCGAGTGCTGTTAATAACAGTAACGTAATTTTAACTCAGCTAACGGTCCACAAACTTCCGGCAAACTATTGCGGTTAACAGTAACATCTAGTCGTCACTATCAAATTTCACGTACGCTTCCCACACCAAAGATGGCACACAATTATAGAGCTCGATATCACAACAACGACCCCAACAACAATGATAATTTTAATGAAAATCCAGCTGCACGCGGCGCACCGGAATATTTTGAAAACCTTTTTTTGAATGGAAATTTTGCAGCAAACGCTGATGAGGACATGCTGGATGCAGCGGCGGCACTAGTAGAGCCCAACAACTTAGCCGAGAATGCCAATTATGAACCGTCATGTTGGGTCTTTGGCTATGGTTCGCTCTGCTGGCATCCCGGCTTCGAGTATTCCAAATGCATAACGGGGTACATCAAAGGTTTCGTGAGACGTTTTTGGCAGGGTAATACCACGCATCGAGGCACTGACGAGAAGGTGAGTATGAGAGCATTATTTTTGCGGTCAATAAGAAACCTCTAAAGTATAGATCAAGTATGGGTAGAAATGTCGAGATTTTACTTGCGAGATTAATTATTTTTCAATAACTTCCCTAAAAGATAGCATACAAAAAATTTAATTCGCGATTTCTTTTTTTGCAACAAAGCCTACCTTATAAAAGTATTAACCGCCTACTATTCTGTCACTTTTTCACTACACCAGTGTACATAATGCAGATAACAATGTAATGGAGATATTATCAAAGAGCAATGATAACGTGGAAATTATTTATGAATTCATCAGTAAATTTAATTAGTAAATAATTGAATTGGTAACACTATCTATCGTCCATAAAGTGGTACTTGGCCACAGCTGTAGCACTCAATTAGCGCAGTGCAAATCGATTTGTGCTATCAAAGCACGTACAGTCCCAATAATGAATGCTATTTACAAAATGCATTGCTAACCTTTAGTATTATGAAAATACCATAAAGGGCACTAAATCTCCTACAATAACAAAACACGTATGTGACTAGAAGGTGCATTCAAAGAAGTCTCCGCCTTAGTTACATTTAATAAAACAATAATATCATTTTTCATGTGAAAGAATCGGTTCATCCAACAACCCGACTAAAATTACGTTATCTGTTTTTTTCTTAATTTTTCTTTTTTGAATTTATCGGTAAACATTTTCTATAAGTATTAAAAGTCAGAAAAATTCAAAAGTATAGCTTTTAACCGGTGAATATAATATCAAAAGTGGTTACATAGGCATGTAGCACATTCTAGTTAATATAAGCACACTCTGAAATTCAAATTAAGCTAACATGTAACATTTATAATTGTATTCTAATGTCGATGCTAATATTTACTTGAAACAATGTTATCTACCAGACAGCAAATATCTCATAAAATATATACATATATACAAACATATATATGCATTATATATGAAGATATTTTTTATTTTTCAACACGATTTGTTGTCAGATAGAGTGAGTTTGTTTATAACAAGACTTTTTTGCAAAAAACATACTCGTATACATATGCACAAACAGAAGTAAATAAAAAAATAATTACCAACTTTTCTTATTTCTTTTGATATATTATATTAACAAAAAGCGCAGTTGCGATTATTTTCCTTATGGACTTTAAAGCAAAAAAGTATTTCCAATAATCAATCCTTTGTGAGTTGTTTTTGTTTTTCTTCCTTTGTTTTTCTGAGCAAATATAATTCGATTACTCCTTGCCAGACTGTTAGTCATTTCCGTCAAGGCCGTGTGGGTTTAAGTGAAACGCCTCCTTAAGGTTATGAAAGTGCTTGCAAATTTAAAAACTTAGAGAAAATATATGTACTTGTATATAAAAGTCTAAACAAAAGTAAAAATGGCAGGCAGGCCTTTGTTTAAATCGCACTAAATGCCTTGTTATGACTACATTTTAATACTTGCTCACATATATACTACACATTTAAAACCGCACAATAAAATTGTGATAAATTTGCAAAAAATATTATTTATTTTCTGTTTTTTTTTTAAATTCATTTACAGCCTGGCCGCGTGGCGACACTCATTGAAGACAAAGAGGTGAGTGGCGAGAAGAATGTAAGTACAGTAGATATTTACAGTACACTGCATATTTACATATTTAATTTTAACAACATACTATATATGCACATATATTTTACCTATGTATATAATTGTGTACAGGGAAAGTGCAACAAATGAGAAATCTTCAAACTCTTATTATTATTTTGTTTTAATTGCGTTAATTTATTGCAATTAAAAACATCAATATTTAAGAGTGGCGCAACGCTAGAATAAAATACTGACTGTAAAGAATTCCACACACAAACCCAATGAAAAACCGCGAATCCTACACTTTCAGACATTCAAGTAAACTACCGAAAATAAAAATAAAGTACTTAAGCAGACTTGAGATTGGTTCAAGGTGCTTTGTCGTGAATTAAGGAGTTTTTTCTGGCTTGACAGAGGACTGTACTTAGCAGTCTCGCCATCTTTTGGGATCAGCCATCTAAACTTACCTAACCCATGCTTTTATTAATCAGTATTAGATGTCTTCTAAATAAAAACAAAATGAGATTTTTCAATAGTAGGGTGTTATTCTATAGTGCTGCTTTAATCTTTTAGTTATCCCTAAAATTCTTTTATAATTGAAAACATTTTAGTAATTCGGAAAAATATACCAACGATTACAAATAAAATTAAAAATAAATGCAATTTAAATACCAAACTATTATTATACTATTATTTTCTTCAACACTGCATATTAAATATGCAAACGAAATATGTTCATGGAAAATCTGGACTGTCTAGGAGCTTGCTATGTACGTATGTATTTATGTATACTCGATACTTCTTAAATTTACATACAAAAATAGTGCTTGTGCTCGTATAAGCATTTTATTACAAAAGCAAAAATATAATATAAATATCAATAAATAAACTACCAACGTTATATATTGAACTTTGCACAGCCGGCTGACACGTGTACGCCGGCATAATATACATAAATACAAAAGAAAACATGAAAAAGAAGAGATGTTTTGTGGCACGCGTCCAAATTTCCCAACGTAAGCCCCATTTCGTGTAAGAGTGTGGACACACACAAGTATGCGCGCGTTCACTCAAACATGTTTATGTCTAATAGTTCTCTGGCACGTTTCCGTGGACACCGGACGCACGAAGACTCGATTTACTCTCTTCGTCTATGGCGTCTGGAGGATTTCCTCGGAATAGAGGCGAAGCACAATTTTTTACGTTGTACCGTTTTACACCTTGATACTTTCTATCCTAGACCCGGGGACTTTCCCCAGGGTTATATTAAAGAGTTACCATGAACTCGTGTGTGACCCCGAGAAACAAGCATGGAAGATTCGAACAGCTTACACCCACCCACCTCTACATACCGCACTGCACTAACTGTATTTCACACATCAATTTGCGAAAAAGCATCTGTGAATTGAAGAAATTTAGGTTGTGAATGAAAAACGGTAAAACCGCTTCACATACTTCTAGGCGTTGTAGAATGTATATAGATCTGTGTTGTATTATTAAACTTCGCAAGTTAAAATTAAAGAATATTTAAAGTTATTTTTACTGATTAAAATATGAAACTGCCTTTTGTAATAGTAACACTTTTATTTTTATTGCAGGGCATCACTTGGGGTTGTGCCTACAAAATTACCGGCGGCACGGCGTTGGAGTACCTTAAACAACGCGAATGTAAGCTAGGTAAGTCTTGCTTCCCGACTGTTCTCACTTCTCTTCTAAATAATTGTAATTCTTCCCTAAGGCGGTTACATTGTGCTCGAAACGAAGTTCTTCCCTCGCGTCGCTTCCTTTGATACACCGTTTAGTGGTGAAGCAGTTCCTGTGTTGGTGTATGTGGCTACGCCTGATAATTGCCATTGGCTGGGCGAAGATACGGCCGAAAATATTGCTGAACAGATTGTTGAGTGCTGCGGACCGAGCGGGCATAACGTCGAGTATTTGTTACGACTGGCTGATTTTATTCGCGAGGAAATACCTGACGTTGTAGATCCACATCTGTTCGAACTGGAGTTTCTGGTGCTGGAAAAATTGAACAAACGCCAAATACCTCTGTGGTCTGTGATGGGCGTGTCGCCGGAACGTATACGTCGCGACTCACACGAAGAAATCAAACGACCACCAACATTCGAATTCACTTCTCGTATAGCGGAACGCAAGTTGCGTTGCTTGAATATTTGATTGGATATCAATAGGACTGGCATGCGCTTAAAGCGTCTAATGGTACGCAAGGCTGGCTGTAATAAATTGTTTGAAACATACATACATACATGAATTCATGTGTTTATAAAATAAATATAAATTCTAGCTGAGTGCGACGATTCGAGTAGTGAGAATTAACGTGTTAAATTATAAAGAGTGCTAAAGAATACATATTTATTATTAATATCAATTGGCTTTCGATGTATTTATAATGTAATTTGTTAATTTTTTACTTTAGAGAATTAAAATTTATAATCTTAGCAATCGTAAGTGACAAAAGAATCGAAACAATTTAATGTAAGATATGGCTTCCACGCACATTGTAATATAGTTGATACATATATATTTTATAATGCCATCGCGTTTCGGAATTAATAAAAATATGATTATAGCATAACAAATTTGTACCAAATAAAATAACTAAAAAATGCAAATGCTGACTGTCATTTAAGATACGGAATAGTAAATCGTTAACAATGTGGATTTTCAAGCCTGTGAAAAATATATAACAATTTTGAAATATGACATCCGTTTCCACCACTGTTAGTTTTTCGTTACCTGAACGGACTCGGAATTTTATTCGTCCAAGGACTGTCACCTCTGCAACATTCCTCTAAACTATTTTATGGATTTTTTCTATGACAACAATGACATATAAAACGTTGAAAAACCTTATCATTTCATATTTTCTCCTAATGGGTGTTTAAGCCAACCCATCTACATATTTTCCAAAAATCTAACTTAATGCATTGTATGTATACCTTCAGCTGCACTCATAATTCTTAACCGGATAGTTATCATGGTAGGGGCAACAGTTGCATCAATACACTGTTTCGTTATTCAACAAACTTTTTCAAACTCGTCTATATCAATATGATTTAATTATATAAAATTCACATTTGTATAAAGTACTACTCCACAGCTATACTGCCGGTGTACATTGTTGTTTATTTTAATTTTTTAAACTAAATTAATGTAAGAAAAACGCTTCAAATCGAGAATATTAATTTGTTAAAATTTCAGCGGCACGCGTTTCCATCAATTTTTCCATTGATGTTATAGACGCCATCCAGTGGTCTAAGGTTGTGGCCATTCCAGCTATTTGTTTACGGCCCAATACACGCGGTTGCACCTAAAATTATTAGATATTACACATATTCAAATTTCTTTTCTAAATATTTATGTCCCTAAAGACTTATTTAATTTTTTAATACGCACCCATGACATATTCACAACACCAGCAACTTGATCTATTTCTCCGCGAACCAAGTCTTGTGCTAGTGCTTTCATTATCAGTAATTCTACTTCTTTCTGTGGCAGTGTTGTCTCTTTTGCTATTTCCTCAAATGATATTGAACGTTGAGTGGCTGAACGTTGAAAAGTCATTTCCATTAAACAAAGAAGTGAGATTTTCTGTCGCAATTTAACTTCTTGCGCAGCCAAGTCAGGAATTTTAGACCAAATTTTTTTCATTTCATTGAATCTGTTGATTCAAAAATTTATAAGGGAATTTAAGTAATTTCCAATTAAATTACTTACTTCGGTATGTTGCCTGTATTAAAAGCTTTAAGCAATTCTACAAGCCACTCGTTATCCGTCCCCTTTAACGATTCCAGGATAGGATGAGCCAACTATTGCAAACACAAAACAATGAAATAATAAAAAATACTATTGAAGTAAATTATTTATGTTACTTACCAATTCACCGATATTATAAATGCCATCACCAAGCAATGCTGCTAGGCCTAAGAAAAATGCTTGTTGCGCCCATTGATCTTTGGGATAATCATCCATTGAACAGCCAAGAAATTGTAAACCACAACGGTAGTAGTCACTGTGTTTGCCCACTCGTCGGTAGTATTGGGAAGCGAGCATATAGAATTTACCATGAACCGGTGTCACATTGCCAGCCTCTTCCAAAACTTCACGCAGTTCTTCAATGATTTTTTTTGTCGCATCCAAATCATTAAGGTTGGTCAAATAAATATTTCCTTGCATTACCTAAGAAATACATGTATATCATATTTATATTATTAGTTTGGATTCACAATTTAACAGGTAATTCTTTTACCTTAATATACCACACCGCCTCATCGCATATATTTACTTTATCCTTCAGTTTATCCAAGAACTCTACAGCTTCTTTCTTATCGGATATATGTTCTACTACTACTTCCAGTATTTGTACTAGCCCGTAAGGATTTATTCTGTAAAAAATAAATAAAAATAAAAACAGTTTGCAAAGTAGGTTCTAACCTCAACAAGGCCGTTTATTTATATTGACTTACTTCATTTCGAATGTAGCAATGAAGTTTTGGTACAACTGTAACAGAGCATCTTCATCTTGAAGGGCAGGATTTCGAACAAAACGTGTCAGCAATATGGTCAATTCGTTCCACAACCTACATGTATAAAGTATTCCAAATATGTGGTAAATAATATTAGAACTAAAAAAAAGCCAATAGGCGTCTTTTCGTTATTACTTCTCATTGTACAAATCCTCGATAGTGGTCCACTCATTCGCAAGTTCCCTGTTTGTTGTTTTCTTCTGTGTTGCTAAATAAGCAGATACATTTGCTGTAGGTGCTGCCATTCTTTAAATATATTTCAACTTTTATTATCCTTTTACAAAAAAAATTAAAAATTTGTTCACAAACGTTGAAGCGAACAATTTTTGCAAATCACAGATTGAACGTAATTGTCAAACAAATGTCAAACTCGGCAATACCGCTCTTCGTTTGTATTTCGTAAGGTTCAGCTTTTTGTGGGCTATGTTAATTTTGGCTACTAACCGCTAGGGCAATATTACATTTTATTCATTGATGAACTTGTGGATTGTGGTATTATATATATTTTGCATATATTAGTTATAATATTATATATCGTGATTTTAGTGAAACAGAGCTCGCTTAAAAGTTATTGGTTAAAGGAGATATAAAGATATAATTGTCTACTTAAATTTTTCAGTTGTATCTATTGTGAATGATTTCTTTTTATTAGTTCACCATACATTTAAATAAGCCTGTAATATAAGCTGTTTAAGTTTGAAAAATGTTTTCTCAACATTTTTTGAAGCGTTCCATTAGCTTTTATTTTATGAATTCACAACTTGGTAAAAATTTTCGTAATAAAAATATTTTGAATTGACAACATTGTTATCGGAATAGCATTAGTAAAATCATCTGTTTTGTGCACGACCATTCACAATGTTAACATTTTTCATTTCTCTAATTTCTACTATTCGTAAATATATTCACTATTTTGTGGGTAGGTTAGGTGTTGAGTTCCAGATATATTGTAGCATAGTTGGTCCATTGTGCTGGCTTAAATAGGTGATAACTCGGAAGAAACGGTGTATTGAACATACGTGGAGAAAGATAACATTTTGTAACACGTTCAATTAGCGAGCTAAACAAAGTGAAGTGAAATTACGTGTGCCGCGCGACTGAAAACGGAAGCACTAAAAAGTGAAACTATTAGCTGTGGCGACTGGCAACCAGCAAAAGTATAACAAAAAAGGAGCACACAATAAAGTAAAAGAAAATAAAAGTTAAGGAAGTTTTTACAGGCAAAATATTAATTGAAAAAATACAGTGAAAAGTGTGCAAGGAGTTCTTTTTACAATTAATTAAGACAACAATTCAATATCGCTGTGTGCTGAGCGTACGTTCGGGTTTTAACCAAAATTTAACTCTTAATTATATAATTGATTTTTTATATTTTCTTTGCAAACAATTAGAGGAAATAGTTTTTCACAAGGATTTACAACTAACTTGTTTATTTGTAAATTCAGAGCGACTTCTTGAAATTGCTTTTAAATCCGGTAACAAAGTGCAATTCAACATTCTTTAAGACAATCCACGGTACAAAACTTGATGAAGTATAAAGTAAAGGAACTTCAAAGCACCTGCGGCATATTAAAGTGAATTGGAACAAAAGGTTAGTAGTTCGTACCACATGCCATTGATATAGTGCATTTATTCACATATGTTTAGTCAGGTCAGCAGTGTCAGTTGGCGACACTAGTCCTATTACTGTGCTATGGATATTGGTTGCCTGTTTATCAATTAGATGTTTGTCGTATGTAGCCGCTCGATATTTTAAAGTATTTGGTACATTTCCTTGTTATCCATGCAATTTAAATAAATTACTCGCTGTTATTTAGGTACATAAATACATATGTTTTATAAACATATTTGAAAGGTTTTTTAATGTTTCTATTCTGAAAGTGCTCACCTTGAATAGACATTCAAATCAGTAAAAAAGTAGTGCAAAATATGAGTATTTATTTTTCAATTAAATAAAATACGGAAAAATGACGAATACACTAAAATCATATAATATTTATGCATAAGTAATTATATATGAATTGTTGAAACAGACTTGAACCGTAGTATAAGGATGGAAATTAAATTTGTCAAATTAAAAATTAAATTGATTTGTTATAACGGATTTCCAAGTAGAAAATTGCATACTTACTCGAATAAAGTTTCCGGTTTTAATTACCAGGTTTACTTTCCTAAGATTCATTTTTAATCAAAGATAGTCCCCATTAGCAATGACCGCCAAAGCATATTCAGTGACAACCAGCCGAACTGTATGCGGGCTCTCATTATCTCAAAATTTTTGATAATTGAATTTTAACTTTTAAATATACTGACTATTGCACTCTCATTTGTTATACTCATAATCTTAGGCATGAGGTTTTAAAGCGATTCCTTACATACGCTGTTTTTAAATATGATATGTTGATATATACATATGTACGTAGATATCTCTGTTTGCGTGTATACATAATTTTGTTTGATCTTTTAAAATAAGAAAACGAGTGCTATTTTAAACAAAAACAAGAAAATACCCTTCACAACTAAAAAAGGTTCCAAACAATAATTTTGTTTTGATCAGTCGGTTTGTATAGCAGCTATATGCTATAGTGATCCGATATCGACGGTTTCGACAAATGAGCCGCTTCTTTGTAGTATAGAATGTGTGCAAAGTTTTATGTTGATAGCTCAAATGCTCAGGGGCGGGTTCTAGGTGTAACAAACGTCATGGCAAACTTACTCTTCCCCGTTTAGGATATAAAAATTTGAAATACTTTTTAATGTCAAGAAAACCACCAGCATCTTTCTTGATTTACTTTTGTACACACAAACCCCGATTTTTTTAAAATTATTATTCTTTTATACAAAACTCAATTCAACTAAACATATGTAAATACATTTTATTTACAGTAAAAGCCGAATTTGGCATGTTGAACGTTTATATGAAGAAATCTAACTTTACGCCAAATACAAAAAATCGTACATGCATATTTAGATA